GGAGGTGAGCACTCGGATGCTTTATCTGGTCTAATGTCTCTTTAATTTTACTCCTCAACTGCACCACCACGCCTTGGACCGTTCAACTGGGGAGGCTGGGACCATCCATAATAGAGACTCTGCCGGTGGATTTGGGGCTCCCACTGTCCTCCCTAGCCTTCTACAAATTGGGTGTTCACAATTGGAACTCTGATACGTTCCATCAAATTTGGATTTTGCTACTACAAGACTGCAACTCTTTACAGGAGTAAAAAGCCGTTCCCTCGCTGCGATCTATTGAAAGGCAGCCCTCGACACAAGAGTTTAAAAAAAAAAAGCAAAAGGAGTAGAAAGCCTCATCTTTCTCCTGTGGAGCAGCTGGTGGTTTCAAACTGCTAACCTTGTAGTTAGCAACCCAACACTACCCCACCAGGGCTCCTGTAATATGACCCATAGTGACCTCATATGAAAGGGTGGGCCTGTCCCCTCGGGCTTTCTAGCCTGTCATCTTCAGGAGAGAAGACCACCAGATCTTTCACCCAGAGCAACTGGGTGGGTGTGTTTCTGAAGCAAGCCATCCTTCAATATAACTCCGGGTCATCCGATCAATGCTGACTCATCGTGACCCCCTGTGGGTTTTCAACACTGTACCTGTTTATCGGCATAGAAAGCCCAGTCTTTCTTCTAAGGAGCTGCTGGTGGTTTTGAACTGCAGACCACGAGGCTCGCAGCCGAACCCATAACCACTACACCGCTAGGGCTCCATGTGCTTAACTACGAAGAGTTCAGAATATGCAGGTGCCAATCATCAAGAGCCCTGCCATTGAGTCAGTTTGGACATAAATCCATATGGGGAGAGAGAAGCGGCCTTTGTGTACGTGCTGCCTCCTTTGATTTACTCAACAAGAAAGGGGGGTTGTGGGCTGCAACGAACCCCCACAGGCTTTCTCGTCCAGTTCCTCAAAGTCCGGGAACCTCTCAACTTCGGATTTGTTTGAAAAACAAACACATACATGCAGATTCCTGGGCCCCTCTCCCACTCCTCCAGATTCAGAGGCTAGAATGTGGGGGCCCAGAAGTGAGCATCTTCCATGCACTTCTCGGGGCTCCTCTTTCATTATTTACCTGTCTCTTGAACAATCCATCAAGGTCAGTCCAAACATGTGGTTATTTTGGATTCCTGCGGGTTCGCGTTCCAGACAGAATGTGTGGGCACACGTTGCGTCTCTGTGGTCAGAGGATGGCTGCAGTCAAGTTCTCTCCAAAGGTCCGATCCAGTCTCTGTTTCTCTGCCATCCTGAGCGGAGGGTGGCTACCTTCGGACTTCCCAGTGTCTTCTCGTAATACTTCTGGATCGAGAGATGCCTGGCCCGCTCACAAATGCAGAACCACCCTCACCCTCAGTGGAGTTGCATGAAAACTAGTGTACAGCTTGCAAGAGGGGTCCTTTGGAGATGTGCCAAGCTGGGGCCGGGAGGAGCCTCCCCCGGGGATGATGCGGAAGCGCAGCATTTACCCGGCTTCGCTCACCTGCTCCAGAGCCTGGTATAGGAGTAGGCCACCGGTCTCCTCCATTGAACTTGCCTGGGCAGACATCGGGTCCGCTTCCTTGGCTTTTGTGTTTCCACATTGAGAGGTTACCAATGTGTAATGCGAGGCCATTGGTTTTCTTTGCGGGGAGGTCCAATCCAAAGAGTGGCCTCCCAGGGGGATCTGCTGGGCCACGAGAATCCGAGGCAGGGAAGCCCGTTTGGAAGGTTGTGCGGATCCCAATGGAGAGATCTGGATAGATGTTCCCAGAGGACACAGGACAATCGCGAGGCTCATTAAGAAGTCTCAAAATTGTGTGGCTGAGACGAGGCCCAGGAAGGTTGTTCCTGTCCCAGGATTCTTTTTCTGCTCATTCTGAGGGGTGGGGGATGGGGCCAGGACGGCCCTGCAGGACAAGGTAGAACTGCCTCTGTGGGTTCCCGAGACCGTAACTCTTTCGGGAGTAGAAAGTCTCACCTTAATCCTGCTAAGCACTGGTGGTTTCAAACTGCTGCCCTTGTGGTTAGTAGCCAAATGCATAACCACTATGCTAGCGGGGCTCCCAGAGAAAGGGTTAAACCAAACCTAACTAAACTCACCGCCATCAATTCATTCTGCCTTCTGGCCACAGAGTAGAACTACTCCCTGTAGGTTTCCAAGATTGTAACTCTAAACGGGAGTAGAAAGTCTTTTCTTTCTCCCTCCGAGTGGCTGGTGGTTTCGAACTGCTGACCTTGAGGAATGCAGCCCAATGCATGACCACAACACCACAAAGGCTAGAAAGTTAGACCTAAATAGAGGCTAAGTCGAGCAACAATAATATCACATTTTTAATAATCGCAAACCAAACTCATTGCCGTCGACCGTAAACCACTTTCTTTTAATCTCTCTTTAAAAAGTGTCTAATACTTTTTCTTAAACTTATACTTAAGGCGGCCCAAATTCCATTTGTAGACAATTGGACATCCCTCACAGAAGGGTCACAAGGAAAGGAAGAGACAGTCAGGGTGCAGTATAGCACTAACAAAACACACAACATTCCTCTAGTTCCTTAATGCTTCCTCCCCCGCCTTCACTATCATGACCTCAGGTCTACCTTACACATCTGGCTAGATGTAAGCATGTACACTGGTACAGATAAGCACTCTCAACACACGGAATCTAGGACAGATGACCCCCTCAGGAACTGTAATGGGAGTAGTGATACGATGAGGGTAGGGGGAAGACAGGGGGTGAAGGGGGATATGGGGGAACCTGATTACAATGATCGAAGTATAATTCCCCCAGGGGACAATGATCGTCCCCAGGGGGATGAACAACGGAAATGTGGGTGAAGGGAGATAGCAGACATGTAAGATAGGAAAACAATAATGTATAGTTTATCAAGGGGTCAGGAGGGTGGGGGAGGGAAGGAAAAAAGAGGAGCTGATACCAAGGGCTCAAGTAGAAAGAAAATGTTTTGACAATGATGATGGCAACGAATGTACAAGTGTGCTTGATACAATAGATGTCTGGAATGTGATGAGCTGTAAGAGCCACCAATGATTAAAGAAACTTACACTCATCTTTTATTCTGTGGTCATTGAAAACATCCACAGCAGAGTATGCACCAACTCAAGTTCCTACGGCGTACAAGTACATGGACTAAAGAAGGCCAGAGATGAAGCAAGGCATTTGGCTGGAGGAGACTATGGAACGTGCCATGAACTTGGAGACCCAAAGCCCATCAGCGGACAACTGGACAGCCCCTTACAGAGGGTCGTGGGGAGGAGACAAGCCAGTCAGGGTGTGGTATAACACCGATGAAACATACAACTTTCCTCTAGTTCTTTAATGCTTCCTCCCTCATTCTACCTTACAAATCTGTCTAGACCAGACCATGCACACTCTTACAGATAAGAGCTGGAAACACAGGGAATCCAGGACAGAGAAACCCCTCAGGGCCAATAATGAGAGTCGTGATACCAGGAGGGTAAGGGAAAGGTGGGGGAGAAAGGGGGGAACTGATCACAATGATCTACATATAACCCCCTCCCTGGGGGACAAACAACAGAAAAGTGGGTGAAGGGAGACATCGGTCAGTGTAAGACATGAAAAAATAATAATAATTTATAAATTATCAAGGGTTCGGGAGGGAGGGAAGATGGAGGAGGGAGGGGGGAAATGAGGAGCCCATACCAAGGGCTCAAGTAGAAAGCAAATGTTTGGGAATGATGAGGGCAACAAATGTACAAAAGTGCTTGACACCATGGATGGATGGATGGATGGATGGGTTGTGATAAGAGTTGTGCGAGCCCCCAATAAAATGATTTTTTTTAAGTGCCATGGATTGCTAAGAGGGTGAACCAACCCGAGTTACAAGGAGCTCACAGTCAGAGTGCTGCTTAGAAGCAAGAATACCAAGACTTCCTCTGACATACTTTGAGCAGGTTGTCAGGAGGGACCAGTCCCCGGACAAGGACATCAGGCTTGGAGAAGTAGAAGGGCAGTAAAAAGGAGGAAGGCTGTCAAGGATACGGATGGACACAGTGGCTGCAACATGGGTTCGGGCATGGGAACACTTGTGAGGATGGTGCAGGCCCGGCCAGGGTTCCTTCTGTTGTGCATAATGAGGTTGCTATGGGTTGGGGCCACATATGGTTGCTATGGGTTGGGACCAACTCCTTGGCACTTAACAGCATGTACCAGACAGTGACCCAGCTGACATTCTGGGACTGGTGCAGCCTCTTTTCATTCTCCTGTTCCGATGATTTGTCCCTCCCCTATGGACATACACTCACCGGTCCCTGAATTTCTCACCCGACCTCTCAGGTGCTCCATATAGCATAAGAAGTTTGCTCAGGGAGGAGAGGGGCAGAAACACACACAGAAAAAGCGAGGTGCTTCATTCATTCATTCATTTTTTTATTTACCATTCCCCTTATCTGCCAGGGGATATTTTTACCAAAAAATGGGGCAGCGGGGGAGTTACTCCCTCTCCTGGTATTTTCCATCCCAAATGCGGCTGCAGACACTTGGTCGTCCACTACTTGATATGAGGAGCTAGGGGAAGCCGCAGTTTGATCCGGTCACACTTGCCTTCAAATCAATGACCCTTCAGAAACACTCCGCCCACCCCCTGGCCCTGGCCTAGAGCAACACTTGTGGTTAATGAATTTCAGAAAGGTGAAGTGGAAGTTAGAAGTGACAGTTACCAAAAACAGAAGGGAGGAAGTGGGAGGGGGGGGCGGTTAGGAGGCCAGGGAGGCAGAGGTGGGGGAGTCCTAGCTGAACACCGCCCCCCAAGGTTGAGAGAGAGGGGTGCCTGAGACATAGGATAGTAGGGGCCCCACAAAAATAGTCCTAGCATCTGTGGTCCTAACGCACCCGCGATTCCCCGCCCACCTGGGCCACTTGCAAAGAGACTGCAAAGTTCACCTCCAAGTCCGGAGGTGGGTGGTGAACAGGGAGGAGTCGAGGGTGGGGGAGATGGGTGGAGGCGGGTGGAACAAGAGCCCAGGACATCTGTGTCCAAAAGACCGGAACCCCGAGATGTCTGCGCCATGGCCGCTGCCGTTGCTGCTGCTGCTGCTGGGACCCGTAGCAGCGGCGCTGATCCGGTACTGGGGACCCCACCGGAGACGCCCCTGTCCTGGGACTCTCCACCTCTTGCCCTTCTAATCATGGGCCGCCACCCCCCGCCATTCTGTGAATACCAAACTTGGGACCCCAGAACCCCTAACTACGCATTCTTGGGGCTCCTAGAGCCCCAACTATAGACTGACCCCCTCATCCTGAGGGATCCCCCTGCTCCACTTCCCAGACCGCACCCTACAAGGGCCAACCTGGAGCCCCTGGGCCGCGCACCCCTCCCCCCCTCTCTGGGCTTGGTTTTGGCACTCCCTCAGCTGTGATGGTTGGTTGGGGGTGGAGGGTAGCTGACACGGAACGACTGCAAGGTCGACGGTTCAAATCCATCCAGCGGCGCCGAGGAAGAAAGCCCTGGCTCTCTCCTCCCGGTGGAGTGGATTCTGTTTTGTGATACACAGGGTTTGGGGGCGTGGGAACCGACTCTCCCCAGACTTGGTTTTGGCGGCAGTGGCTCTGGGTTGTTTTTCACCCAGGGGGCTTGTTGTAGCCTTGAGATTTGGGGGTTCCAAGTTACGGAAGGGAAACCCTGGTGGTATAGTGAGTTACCGTGGGGCTGCTAACTACAAGGCCAGCAGTTTGAACCCACCAGTGGATCCTAGGGGGAAAGATGTGCCTTTCTATTCCCATAAAGAATTACAGCTCTCCTTCGGCCACAATTTTAAAAAAAATTACACCAGTAAAAATGAGTGCAAGGGGGAAAAAAAAATGAGTGCAAGGGGAAAACATTTTTTTTAAGGGTTACAGTCTCAAAACCCACAGGGGCAGTTCTACCCTGTCCTATAGGACTGCTGTGAGCCAGGATCGACACCTTGGTGGGCAGTTTGATTTGGTTTGGATTAAGTAGGTCTAAAGGAAAGCCTCCACGGGTGCAGATCGTTAGCCCTTAGCGGCTAGTGGCCAGGTTGGCAGTTCGAATCCACCAGAGGAGCCTCAGAAGAAAGGCCTGGCTCCCTGTCTCTGGAAAATGGAGCTTCATTCTATTGGTACTTCCGTGAGACATAGCGGTGGGAGAGGGGAGGTCTCTAGACATGGGACTCCGAGCATCTTGGAGACCTGGCTCTGTGACTCCACTCCCAGATGCCCACCCTCCAACCCTTCTGGGCCTTAAGGATCCCAGGTGTGGGAGGGCACCAAGAACTGTGCTAGGTTTCTGGAGTGGGTAAATACCTCCGTTCTCGGCTTTGCATGATGAAATAATTCATGTCGAAGCCTGTTTTGTCATCCAAGTGGGTTTTTAGGAAGGACGGAGACATGTCAGGTTTTACCATCTCAAAGGGGTGCACCAATGGGCCCAAACAACCACGTGGAAGAGAGCACCCATGCATGTGGAACGCGGGTGGGGGGGAATCCCAGGGATTGAAGGGTTGAGTGAGCAAGGGGCAAGAGTGAACAGAGGCAGGAGAGTGTAAAAGCGTGTTCCCTACCTTTATTCTTGCCTGCTCCCTGGCTGGGGGAAGGCATGGTTGAAGGTATGGGTTGACCCCATTGGTTAGGTTGAGCCCACCTGGGTGATGTCATGAGCCTGTGCCTAGTTTGGACACCCAGGTGTACCTCCCACCTGGCTCGTGAGGGGGCTTGAATACGAGCATGCTTGGTTTGGGGTCTTCAAAGGCATCTAAAGGGTGCCTGATTTCTTTAACCTCCTTTATGAGGGCCTTTGCAGGTATGGGAGGGACAACCCCCCTGTCCCCAAACTAGTGATATTAAACTAGGGACCTCGCACTTGCTTCTGCTTGCCTCTGGCATCGGCCCACCCCAATGTCTTCATCTCCTCTCTTCTTGCCTCCTAATTCTTGCTGGGGAAGGGGGAGAGGGAGGGGGCTGGTCTTCCAGGAAGCCTTGCTCAGCCTCACATTCTTGTGCATCTCAAGATTGGGAGGGAAGGGGAGGCTAGGCCAAAGGTGAGAACAAGGGGGCGGGGTTGTGAGCTGTTCAATCATTCCCTACAACTCAGATCAACCCTCTAGGACAGAATAGAACTGCCCTGCAGGGTTTCCAAGACTCTCTCTCTCTCTTTCGTTTTTTTAAATTAAAAGATCATTTTATTACATACTCTTACAGCTCTTATAACAATCCCTGCATCACTTGTATGGAGCATATTTGTACATCTGTTGCCATCGTTATTTTCTAAGCATTTACTTTCTCTTGAGCCCTTGGTATCAGCTCTTGTACTGTAACTCTTCATGGGAATAAAAAGCCTGTCTCTCCCTCAGAGCAGCTGGTGGCTTCCAACTGCTGACCTTGCAGTTAGCAGCCCAGTGCATCCCCACCATGCCTCCGGGGCTCCTCGGACCTCCTTAGAAATACAAATCCTCAGGCCCCGCCCAAACATCACCTGACCATTGGCCCTTTCGTCAGATTCTCGGCTGACCCCTATGGGTGTGAGATTAGACCGGAGTTCCACCGGGATTTTAGTGGCGGGTTCTGGCAGGTGGATCATCAGGCCTTTCTTCCAAGTCACCATCGGGTGGGCTTGAACCTGAAATCTTGAGCAGAGCGCTGTTTGCACCTCCTCAGGGGCTCCCATCCAGGTCTGCTGCATCAGAAATCAAGAAATCTATGGATTTTAAGGGACCCTCGGGGTCAAGACTCAGCAAACAATTGTAGGGCCGGATCCAGAAATCTACGGATTTTAAGGGACCCTTGAGGTCAAGACTCAGCAAACAATTGGAGGGCCGGATCCAGTTCATGTGTGTGTGTAATTTTTTTAAATGTTATGGTCATTATCTATATCGTCCTTCTCAAACAAACAAAGTCTTCCATACAGTGGATTTACAGAAACCCTATAGCACAGCCTGCGGTTTTTTGTGACTGTATCTCTGTCTCTGTCTCTGTCTCTGTCTCTGTCTCTCTCTCTCTCTCTCTCTCTCTCTCTCTCTCTCTCTCTCACACACACACACACACACACACACATACTTTATCAAGACGCAGGTTCGATTCTGCCAAGACTAACTCTTGACAGGAGTAGAAAACCTCATCTTGCTCCCTCAGGACGGGTAGTTTCCAACTATTGACCTGGGCGGTCTGCAGCCCAGTGCTCCTCCGACCTTGCCACCAGGCCTGCCCTCCGCGCTCCCTGGGCGGCACTCTGGCTTGTGCTTAACTAGGATCCCAAAGTGCACAGCCGGGATGCATCGGCTCCTCAGTGGAGCTGAAGAAAGTCCTGGCCATCACGTTCCGTTGAGATCGGCGGTGGTAAGCCTGGCTGCTGAGTTGGGTCAGGACCGACAATGGCCCCGTAGGATGGCCAAGCAGAACCGCGCCATGGGGCTGCTTAAGCTGTCATCTCGGTGGGAGCGGTTTGCCAGGACTTTATGCAGAGGAACTGGCGGGTCAGCTCAGGCTGCCAAGTGGGTTGCTTTCGGTTAGCAGCTGAGAGCTTCACTGTGGTGCCGCCAGGGTGGTGGCTGTTTGAGCATCATGGTCAAGGAAACGCCAAGGGGAAGCTCTCCTTGGTCACAGGGGGTTTGCCGAGTGTTGGAATTAACCCAACAGCAACCAGGGTTTGGTTACTGAGCGCCCTCGAGTGGACTATGACTCACAGCGATTGCGACCCTATAGGACAGGGTAGAAAGGCCCCTGTGGGTTTCCAAGGCTGTAGCTCTTCACGGAGTAGAAAGCTTCATCTTCCTCCCCGAGGAGTGGCTGGGGGGTTTCAAACCGCGGACCTGGCAGTGCATCACCCATATGCCTCTGGGGCTCCTGGTTGGCTAAATGGTGCCGATAAAACAAACAAACAGACAAAACACCCAAACCCACTGCCACCGTGTCATTTCCGACTCGTGGTGGTCTGGGAGAACTGCCTCTGTGGGGGGTATCTGGGATTGAAAATCTTTTTTTTTTTTAATCATTTTATTTATACAGCTCTTATCACAATCCATTCATCCATGGTGTCAAGCACATTTGTACATTTGTGGCCATCATCATTTTCAACGCATTTTCTTTCTACTTGAGCCCTTGGTATCAGCTTCCTTAATGGAGACAGTTGACTTCCAATTTGTCAAACTTGCACTATCTTGGGGTGCGATCAAAGGAGGTGTGCCTGTATATAACCAAACATCTGCTCTTTCAGCATTTCCTAGGGGGTAGGGTGTTTGTCCGGGTTGACTAGAGAAACAAATCCAGTGTGTCAGAGAGAGCTTGATATTAAAGAGTAGTTGTACATTAAGAAAACATCATTGGAATAAAAGATAAATGAATTAAATTAAAGGGAAAAAAATCCTTGGGGGATGGAGAACAGAAAAGTGGGTGAAGGGAGACATCAGACAGTATAATATATGACAAAATAATAATAATTTATAAATTATCAAGGGTTCATCCAGGTTGGCAGTTCGAATCCACCAGAGGAGCCTCAGAAGAAAGGCCTGGCTCCCTGTCTCTGGAAAATGGAGCTTCATTCTATTGGTACTTCCGTGAGACATAGCGGTGGGAGAGGGGAGGTCTCTAGACATGGGACTCCGAGCATCTTGGAGACCTGGCTCTGTGACTCCACTCCCAGATGCCCACCCTCCAACCCTTCTGGGCCTTAAGGATCCCAGGTGTGGGAGGGCACCAAGAACTGTGCTAGGTTTCTGGAGTGGGTAAATACCTCCGTTCTCGGCTTTGCATGATGAAATAATTCATGTCGAAGCCTGTTTTGTCATCCAAGTGGGTTTTTAGGAAGGACGGAGACATGTCAGGTTTTACCATCTCAAAGGGGTGCACCAATGGGCCCAAACAACCACGTGGAAGAGAGCACCCATGCATGTGGAACGCGGGTGGGGGGGAATCCCAGGGATTGAAGGGTTGAGTGAGCAAGGGGCAAGAGTGAACAGAGGCAGGAGAGTGTAAAAGCGTGTTCCCTACCTTTATTCTTGCCTGCTCCCTGGCTGGGGGAAGGCATGGTTGAAGGTATGGGTTGACCCCATTGGTTAGGTTGAGCCCACCTGGGTGATGTCATGAGCCTGTGCCTAGTTTGGACACCCAGGTGTACCTCCCACCTGGCTCGTGAGGGGGCTTGAATACGAGCATGCTTGGTTTGGGGTCTTCAAAGGCATCTAAAGGGTGCCTGATTTCTTTAACCTCCTTTATGAGGGCCTTTGCAGGTATGGGAGGGACAACCCCCCTGTCCCCAAACTAGTGATATTAAACTAGGGACCTCGCACTTGCTTCTGCTTGCCTCTGGCATCGGCCCACCCCAATGTCTTCATCTCCTCTCTTCTTGCCTCCTAATTCTTGCTGGGGAAGGGGGAGAGGGAGGGGGCTGGTCTTCCAGGAAGCCTTGCTCAGCCTCACATTCTTGTGCATCTCAAGATTGGGAGGGAAGGGGAGGCTAGGCCAAAGGTGAGAACAAGGGGGCGGGGTTGTGAGCTGTTCAATCATTCCCTACAACTCAGATCAACCCTCTAGGACAGAATAGAACTGCCCTGCAGGGTTTCCAAGACTCTCTCTCTCTCTTTCGTTTTTTTAAATTAAAAGATCATTTTATTACATACTCTTACAGCTCTTATAACAATCCCTGCATCACTTGTATGGAGCATATTTGTACATCTGTTGCCATCGTTATTTTCTAAGCATTTACTTTCTCTTGAGCCCTTGGTATCAGCTCTTGTACTGTAACTCTTCATGGGAATAAAAAGCCTGTCTCTCCCTCAGAGCAGCTGGTGGCTTCCAACTGCTGACCTTGCAGTTAGCAGCCCAGTGCATCCCCACCATGCCTCCGGGGCTCCTCGGACCTCCTTAGAAATACAAATCCTCAGGCCCCGCCCAAACATCACCTGACCATTGGCCCTTTCGTCAGATTCTCGGCTGACCCCTATGGGTGTGAGATTAGACCGGAGTTCCACCGGGATTTTAGTGGCGGGTTCTGGCAGGTGGATCATCAGGCCTTTCTTCCAAGTCACCATCGGGTGGGCTTGAACCTGAAATCTTGAGCAGAGCGCTGTTTGCACCTCCTCAGGGGCTCCCATCCAGGTCTGCTGCATCAGAAATCAAGAAATCTATGGATTTTAAGGGACCCTCGGGGTCAAGACTCAGCAAACAATTGTAGGGCCGGATCCAGAAATCTACGGATTTTAAGGGACCCTTGAGGTCAAGACTCAGCAAACAATTGGAGGGCCGGATCCAGTTCATGTGTGTGTGTAATTTTTTTAAATGTTATGGTCATTATCTATATCGTCCTTCTCAAACAAACAAAGTCTTCCATACAGTGGATTTACAGAAACCCTATAGCACAGCCTGCGGTTTTTTGTGACTGTATCTCTGTCTCTGTCTCTGTCTCTGTCTCTCTCTCTCTCTCTCTCTCTCTCTCTCTCTCTCTCTCTCTCTCTCTCTCTCTCTCTCTCTCTCTCTCTCTCTCACACACACACACACACACACA